AGAAAGGTATTGCATAGGACACTGGACCCATACCAGCATGTTTCTTGCCAACTTCCCTGGTGAGAGGGCATGTAGGGCCTGTGGGAGAAGCTCTTGGCCCTAGCTCATTGCTTCCTCTAGCAGGCATGGATGTTCAGAGGGATGTCAGAGGACAGTGAGAAAACCGACCTGATGGGTGGAGAGCTTGGATAAAGACATAAATGACTCTAGAAGATAAGCCTGAGGACTGGTCATAGAGGACCTTGAACCATGCCAAGTTAATTTGTTTTAGAACCATGCCTGTCCTGGACACAATGTTAGGCATTCTCTTCCCATCATTTTTGATTGTTTGGTGGTGGTGGTGGTAAGTGCTGTCGAGTCAGTTCTAACTCATAGCAACCTTGTATAGGGTTCCTGAGGAGCAGCCGGTGGGTTTGAACGAATGACCTTTCTGTTCAAACTGACCTTATTCAAACCGACCTTGTAGTCCATCGTATTATCCTGCAGCGCCACACCAGAACTCCTTCATTTTTGTTTAAACTTGACAAAATAAAAGGTAATATACATTAAAAGGAGCTCTGGTAGTAGCATAGTGGAGCTGGGCTGCTAACTGCAAGGTCAGTAGTTGGAATCTCTCAGTTGCTCTGCAGGAGAAAGAAGAGACTTTCTGCTCCCATAAAGATTCACAGCCTCAGAAACCCTATTATAGGATCACTATGAGTCTGAACCAATTTGACGACATACAACCACTAGTATACATTTAAAACGATAACACCTACACTTTAAGCAATAATTACATTTTAAGTGATAATAATAAAATGAATACCCATGCACCTGGCACCAAGCTCAGGTGGTTTCCAGACCCTTTGAACCATCTTGTGGACTCCTAAATAATGAATTATGATTTCACCACCCTCAAACTCTCTTCTCTATCTTGGATTTTGTGTTAATCATTTTCCTTTTTTTTTAAAATGGTTTTAACCACTCATATCTCAGTTTTATGGAGACAGTGAGCAGGGGCATGTGGAATCAGGCAGGAGCTGTGTGGCCTGTCTGCAGTCTGACTAGGCTGCAGAAAGGAGTGGGGAAGTTCTAACTTTGCTGCCACCAAAAGGGAGTGGCATTGCTATGGTGGGGGAGGGAGAGGCTGGAGAAACTGGCCGTGATCCCTGAGGCTGTCCAGAAGAGCAGGCCCAGGCCCAGTGTGGTGGCTTGGCAACTTCCAAGAGTGGTTCTAGAGTAGAGTTGAGCCTCTGGAGGCTGCACAGCTGGAAGCCGTTGCCTTGAGTTTGGAGTAAGGGAGTGGGGTGGGGCTACTCCTCTGTCCTGTTTTGAGACATAGTATCAATTCTGTCCTATGTTTGGGAGCTTCAGGCTGACACAATGCCAGATGTGGCCAAGGTGGCTTTGGCAGGCCTGCCTTCTATTTTCACTTCCATTTTCTGAAGTGTTGATTGTGCTACTCATTCAATTGTTTGTCACTTTGCTTTTCTGCTTTGCCTTTGCTTTTGTGGTGCTTCTTTGAATAAAAACTTCCCTTTCTACTACTTGTGATTGCTAGCCACGTGTTGAAAGTTATTCTGTAAAATAGACTTAAGGGGCCTATGAGAAGAAACGGGCGATGGGAGGTCTGTGCAGCAGTGGGGTTTGATCAGACTACCCACATCCCTGAAGGTCGCCACCACTCATCACAGTCATTCTTGGTTGGCCAGCAGGTTGAATTTGGAAACCTGCCATCCAGGTATAGTTGAGTGGAACAGATTCAGATTGCCCTAATGTGCCAGTTATATGGAGGATCAGAGAGAGAGTTAGAACTGTTTAAGCCCATGAGCAATTCACATTCTAGATGTGAAAACAAGACTTTCGTGCATATACATGTTCAGCAGTCCACATGCCAAATGCAGGATGAAGAATCATTTTTCTTATCATCCATGTAACAATTAATTATTTTAAAAAAATGTAACAACATAATCTGACCCCCTCCCAAGATAACCACTGGTAACTGCTTTGAAATACTTGAGGAATTGGGTTTTGAACTGGACTTTTAAGTAAAATCCAGAGAGACAGACTGTTGAGAGGAAGATGGGCATCTGGAAACTCTAGGGAGGAGTGTCCTTCACTGCCTTCCCTAACAAATGGTGATCTAACTTCTGCTTGGACAGTTGTGACAGGCCACCAATATGCCCAGATAGGAATTAACACTTATTAAGCCGCCACCAGTGTTTTATGTGCAAGGCAGTGTGTTAGGCACCTTCTAGATGTTATTGATTAAGCCTCATTATAACCTTATAAATTAGGTATCTCTATCCATTTTCACAAATAGGAATACTGAGGCTCAGATTATATGCCAGGGTCACATAGTTAACAGCAGGTAGTATAGAGTTCTGCAATTTACTAGCTGTGTGATTTTGGTCAAAATATTTCATCTCTGTGGTTCTGTCTTCTCATCTGTAAAGTAGGGTGATAATAGTACCTATCTCACCAAGAGTTTTAAAGATGTATGATTTAATACACAGTTGGCCAGTAGAATGGTACCTGGCACATAGTATACAGGGAGTAAGCATTAACTGCTACTGATTAACCTTGCTTTCACATCATTTTACCCCAAGCCTATTGCTGTTAAGTGTGATTCCAATTTACAGTGACCCTGTGTAGAGTTTCTAAGGCTGTAAATCTTTGTGGGAGCAGAAAGCCTTCTTATCTTTCTCTTGTGGAGTGGCTGGTGGGCTCGAACTGCAGACCTTGTGGTTCACAGTCCAGTGCTTATCCTACAGTGCCATGGTGTTCCTGTCCCAAACCTGAGTCCCTACTTAATTGAATTCTGTAAACAGTGTCTCTATTTCCCCAGCCATTACATGCACTTTCCTCCTATTTACAATTCTCATCTTGCTTCTAATCAGTTATTAAGGTCTCTTCATATGTCTCCACAATAACTCTGCCTTTCTCTTCTTTCCATTCTCTCTTACCTTACCCTTCTTAGCATCCTGATTACCTGTCTCCCGTGTATTGTGGCAGCCTCCTGACTCATCTCCCAGTTGTTAGTCTCATACGTTTAGATACCAGATTAATCTTAAAGCACAGTTCTCATTGTACCACATCTCTGTTGAAAAAAAACAAGATAAACTTTCAAGCCCTCAGTTGATTCCTTAGTTTGAAGTACAAGATTCTCCAACCCTCTAACAAAGACTCACCCTTCTAGCCTATTCTTCTGATGCATCCTCATCTCTTCTTCCTAACTGGTCTCTTCATTTCCACGGGTGGGGGTGGGGTGGTAAGGGGGGCCCGGAAAGGAGTCTACTTATATATTTAAAGAGCTATATGGTGCTGTGGGAGTCCTGGTGTGGCACTGTGGGTTAATGCACCAGACTGCAAAGCCGTTTGAACTGCAGGGTCGGCAGTTCAAGCTCACCAGCTGCTCCTCGGAAACCCTATACAGGGTTGCTGTGGGTCAGAACCGACTCGATGGCACTTCACAGCAACATAGTGCTGTGGGATAAATCACTGGACCGCAAGGTCAGTTTGTTTGAATCAAAAGGTCAGTGGTTCAAACTCACCAAGGTCGCTATGAGTTGGAACTGACTCAAGGCACTTACCCACAACACATTATAATAGTGTTTTCTTAGCTCTTCTCTACCCTTAACTGGTTAGAATTTTTCTTTATATCTTTTTTTCGTATTTGCTACATTCTGTTTTGAAATACAGTTTTGGCATCATTATGTTATAGTTATAAGCTACCTCATTGCAGACACTGGGTCTAATTCATCCTTGTATATACCCTTTATTGTGTCTTATAGCATTGTACATCACATAGTTGGTGTTGAGTAAATGTTTGAGGGATGAGTGAAGGTCAGATAAGATGGGAGGGTTCGTATTAACTCGTGAGTTTCTCTCCATAGCTTTGGTGAGGTTCGCTGATTACTTATGGAAACACTAGTGAGGTTTTGCCTACTAAGATGCAGACATCTTTTCTTTTCTGGTGTCTAGGAGAGGCAGAGCCTGTAGGCTTAGTTGATGGGTCTCAGTGTCTGTGTTTGCTAAGGGGCTGCCACACTTCTAATCGGTCCGTGCCTTGGCCCCTCGGCCCCTCCCCACAAATACTCAGCGGAACAGGGGATTAGGTTCTGGCAGCACAGCTGGGATTTTGGCGGCCATTCTTCAGTCGACAATAGCACGGAGCCACCCGGACAGGACAGCAGGGCCAGAATCTGCCAGGGCTTCTTGTTTGGGTGGCCCAGGGGAAGGAGCGGGCCCAGCACAGCATCCTGGCCTTGCCACGCAGAAGGTACGGGCTGGAGAGACTCCCTCAGGGAATGGGCTTAGGGGATGGCCATGTCCCAAGGCAGGCGCGCCCACGGAAGGAGGTGAGGCGCTTTGTGTGTGAGCAGCATGGCATGCGTATGCTTAAAGCCCGCCCTGGAGCCAGCAGGAAGCTGCCCTGTGAAAGGGGCCTCTACTAGCTCTTCAACGTCTCTGTTCCCAGATCTTTTTCTTTGCCCTGCTTCACCAGCCAGGGGCTGATCTCATTCTCAGGACAGCCCTGGGCCTTCTCTTCCTTTGCTGGCCAGAGAGATGGACCTGCGTTCACTACTGAACTAAGGCCTGACTGGAAAAGAGAACGAGGGGGGAGTGTCCGGGTGATAACAGGTTTGTCAGGCAGGTCACTGGGAGATGTTTTGTGTGTTTAGGCCACATTTTGGCTTGGCTCTGGTCGCTGTTGCAGTTCAGTAATTTTGTCTGCTGGCTCGTGGCCCCCTCCCCCTCTCCTCCTAAAGGGTTTTATTCTCTTGTTCGTGGGCCCAGCCTTTGCAGCCCCTCCTCTCCTAGCAGGGCGCCCCTCATTCCTCTTCACCCCTCCCCACCCCTATCTTCCCCCACCAGTGGTTGAGCTTTCACTGCGTTTCTGCCCTTCCCAGATCGCGGAAGCTCGCTGTGCCTTTAAAGAAAGCAGACTCCTGGCTGTGACGCACTTCTGGCTGTCAGCCAGGAAGATCGCTCCTGCCAGGCTGACTGAGAAGAAAACCAACAACTTTTCTTTTGTGTGTGGGGTTACTTTCCACTAGCCCGCCCCCTACTCCTCTCCTTTCAAGATTTAAATGCTAATGGCGGATTAAAACCTGTAGAAACGTTTGGCTTTAGAAGTCTGGTAAGGCCTTCGTGCACTGAGACTTTTCCTCCCTCTTTCTCTGGGTTTTTGTTCAAACATGGACGAGGGGGTGGGGTGGATTCTCCCCCCTCACCTCCCTTTCCTGCGCCATCCTTGGAGGGGAGGGAGCGGAGAGCAAGTAAACACACTCGGAAGCAGGCGCTGGGAGCTGAGCTTGCCAACATCCGGGAGTTGGCGCCTTTCAGAGCAGAGGGTTGCTTTCTTTCCCCCCTCGAGAGAGATGTCAGCGTGTTTTTTTGTTCAGAGGGGGATTGCGTATGCGCCTGCACGTTGCGCTATAGAGAGAGCTCAGGAGAGGGCTTCATTCCCGCGTGAGGCCCTGGGTGTGTACGCAGTGGTAGGAGAGTGAAAACAGGTTCATTTTTTTTAGCTGGTGGGGACCAGGGGATGTGAATAGAGCAGTGGGGGCAGGTGCTGATGAACTGCTGGAGTGGGTTCAGGGGTGTGTGGGTTCTGTGCGCGTGCGCGTAATGTGGCTGCAGGCCTCAGTGCTAGTTCAGGATTGCAACCTTTTGCCCACATACTTCTGATCTGAACCCTAATGAGGCATGGGGGCAAGGGGATATATCAGTAAGCCACTTTTGAAGAAACCATGGAAATCCTGGTTTCCCAGCATGCAATCTCTCCCTCATTCCTCTCCAAGGCCTTGGGGCTCTAGCTCCAAAGAGGTGGTCTGTGTGAAGAGGAGGGCCAGGCCTGAGCCCAACTAATCGCTTTAGGGGGACCAGGGAATACACCCAGCTAGCTCTTTGGTTTGGGGTCCAAATTCTGCTCCTCAGAAACCCTATGCAGGATCACTATAAGTCAGAACTGACTCAATAGCACTTAATAATAATAAGCTTTGGTTTGCTCCTGACCTCAGGTCCATAGTCTATTCTAGATTCTTTAGGAGCTGAGAAGGTTTGTATTTTTCTTTCCATAACTTCTCTCCGAATTAACTGCTGGCCCTTTGGCCTTTTACTTTTTTTGAGCCAGGGGGATACTTCCTATTCTTTGTATAGCTTGGACTTTGCTGGGCCTCTGTGGAGTAACCTACCAAATGAGGCCTGGGTGCTTGCTTGTGCCTTTTGATTGATCCCTCCCAGGATTAAGAAAGGAGGAGCCAAAGGATCAAGGTGTTCATTCTTTGAGTGTCTTTCAGATAGAGGAGTATTCCTTGTAGAAAAGGATGCAGATTGTGGAATTCTTATGGCTTATACGCAGACAGGTTCTTAGTGTAAGTGTTGGCAAATCTTGTCATTGAGCAGGGACACAGGTTGTTGTTAAGTGCTGTCTAGTTAGTTCCGACTGATAGCGACCCCTGTATAGGATTTCCAAAGAGCGTGAACTGCTGACCTTGCAGTTCAAACTGACATTGCAGTCCAGTGTATTAACCTGCAGCACCACACCAAGACTCCATGGGCACAGGTAGCATTAAGAAATAGGGCAACCGTTTCCTTTATGAGTTGTGAGTTTGTGGCCTTTGGAAGCACTGGCTAGAGAGAAGACAATGCTCCCTTTGAGGTGGGAGCTTATGTGGGCTTTGTTGTTGTTAAGTGCCGTTGAGTCGGTTTGGGTTCATAGTGGCACTGAAATTCTGGGAGTAGAAGCTGGCGTCTAAGGGAATGAGAGTTCAGGAGCTGCAAGAGCCATGAACTGAGAGAACAGTGCAGTTTAGTTGCTCTCTGAGACCAAAGGTCACTATGGTGTTATCTTGAGGTAGGGCTGGTGTTCAGGCAGGCAATAACTGGGTAAGAGGCTGTATCAAAAGGAGCTGGCTTCCAGGGTGGGAGGGGGGGGCATAAGAGTAGTGCTGCCACTCAGGCCCTTGGGCCTTTAGCCTATCACTTGTTCTACCCCCTAAAGTGAAGTTTTTTCAGACCAGACTCCAGAATTTAGCAACCTGACCCTCTAGCCCTGGTCTCTACTTCTGAGCAGGTGGTTTGCATTAGCTTCAGCCCTTGTAAGAACCACGGCTAGCTTTTAACTCTTTATGACCTAGAGAGAGTGCAGGCCAAGTGACTGTGTTGTGTGTCTCTTGCGTATGATTTTTTTTTTCCCCATAGATCTATGGGAATTGATTTTCATGTGGGATGAGAGGGAGGGATGTTGCATTAATGTCAGTTCTGGAATTGTCAAGAAGACATAAAGCCTTTAGTGCTGTCTTTCTGTATCTTCGTTCCTCTGTAAGCCTAGAGAAAAATAGAAGGTATTTTACCAGCTCTGTGAAGCTTCTGTTACAGATTCTGGGGACATTTCTCTTTGCTGATGAAGCAGGTGGGAAATCCAGAAGTGCTCCGGAGTGCCAGCTTCCCACATTACATTCTAGTGTTTTGTTTGTTGATTGTGGGTTAGGGGTATGAATAGTTGAGTTGGGGTGGATTTCTTGTAGATCCTTCCGTGAATTGGTTCCAGGCTTACAATTGTGGGGATCTGTTTTTCCATCTCCATCACCCAGCCTTCTGGGTGGGGCCTGCCTCAGATTTCAGGGGGAGGGTGGGGAGGATGGTGCTCTGGCTGGGAGCCCTCGGGTCCAAGCCAAAGCCTGTTTAAAGCTATAGTCTCAGTGCCGAGGACTAGCTGTGCCCTGGCTTCAATCATTCATTACCCAGATATGAGTGAGAGCGGCTGGGCTCTCCTAAAGCCTCTCACCCGAGTGTCCTGTTCCAGAGAAAGTGTCCCTTTATGGGCTTTGAGCTGACAAAAGCCCTTGAGTATTGGATACCTGTTTCTGTGCCTGGAGAGCACAGAAAACAAAACAAAACATTTTGGTTTTAACTCTGGGTTTTCCTGGGCAGTGGCAGAACTAGTTTTTAGTCAGGAACACTAGGGAGCACTTGAGGGTTGTATGTTTTGCCCCTAAGATAAAGGGAGGAGAGGTTGGTTGGTTAAGCCTCAGGTCATTTTTAGTTGTACAACTGTGGAATCTCTTGGAGTGGGCAGCTTGCAAATAAAACTTCTAACTGACATTTTTATCAAGAGAAAGACAGAGCTACAGGCATGTGAGGGGGAAGTGATCTGGACCTTGTTTCCCATGTTACTAAATAGCATAGAGACTTTTTTATTTTTTAGAGAAATCTCCAGTTGAACTGAGAATTTGTCTGTTACCCCTTTCCCATAGGGGCTGAGTATGCTCTCCCTAGCTTTAGGCTGGCCAGCTACCAGAATAGCCCTCTGCCTTCATTCTTGCTTGGTCCGAAGGGTGAGGCTTGTTTGGTCAAAATCATACAAGACTGAGGACCACTTAAGCCCTTTAGCTTCTCTGCTCTTGTGAGAGTTCCCTTAACTACTTTTTTGCTTGGTCCAGGTGAATTGGCTCATTTCCAAAACTGTGATGTTGCTGCCAGTGGAATCAATGTTGAGTTTTGCAGGGCCAGGAAGTACTTAATATAATTTTAACACTTAGTCATCTTTAGCATTTAGCTATCTCTTCTGTTGTACAGTGCTTCATGCATGTCTGCTTTTATTCTTCATCAAGTTGTAAGTCCCTTAGAGGCAGGGACCACGTAGTTTTCTCCAATTTCCCTTATAGCTTCCAGCACAGGATGAATATATGTAAAGGACTCAGGAAATGCTATTTTGATTGGTTGATAATGAGCGTACACCTGACTAGGAAGTATCAAAAGGTGATGGGAACCCAGAGAAGCTGTGACGCCAGAGATAGAGGCAGACACAGTGATGTGGAGAGATGGAGTAGCTGGGGACTTTAGACCCAGAGAGGGAGAGGGGCTGTGTGCTGATGACGGGGGGGGGGGGGGGTGGGGGGGTAGTGCAGGGGGGGCAGGCTTGCAGGGTATACCCTTTGCTTGGTTGATGATGCATGAAGGGGATTGTAACCATGGCAATGAAATTATTTACGATAGGATAAATGTAAAGCTAATGTTTCCCCATGTAAACTATCACATAATTCACAATAAAACATTAAAAAAAAAAAGTGTTGGGGAAAGAAAGATCAGATTTATATGTTTTCCTTCCCAAATAGACAATGAGCATCTTATGAGCAAGAACTGTAACTTTCTTAACCTTAACACCCTTGCATGCATGCAGAAGGTGTTTAGCAAATGTTAGTTCCACAGAACCTATACCTTAGAAATGCTGATGTGCAGGGGAGATACATAGGTGATAGGGCTATGCCACTCTTGTTCCTCCTTCTAGACTAGTTAGTGACAGAGTGAGCACCTAAGGCAGCAGGTACGGGTGGAACTGAGTATTCACATGTGGATTTGTGGAAAGTGTGGGGGCTGCTAAGAGGTATTAGGGACTATTTAGTCACCAGTTTTGTGGTCTCTTGGGTAGGTTGGCAGGCAGATGGCAGATTCCCAATGGGAAGAAGAATTGGGGTAAGAATTCCAGGACAAGTAATCTAACCTTTCATTAGATAGCCCAGTGGGATCTCCTCCAGAATTGATGTTGGCCTCATCAAGAGGCCATGGTGTGGATCTGCCTACTCTCCTGTTTGAATCATGGCTTTGACACTTCTCTAGGAGATGTAAAAATCCAGAGCGTTCCCTAAAGGACTTGCCTGCTCTTAGCTAGGTGGAATTTGTGTACCTGTAGAAAGAGCTAAAAATCTATTTAAAAACTGTGATCATTTATTGAATACCTGCCATGTATCAGGCATTGTGCTATTTGCTTTACCTTTAAGCATCATAATAAGCCATAGAGGTGTTTGCTGATCCAATTTTGCGTACGAGAAAACAGATTGATGCTTGTGTTTATGATCTTATGACTGTGATCACTTGGAATTAGCACTCAGACCTAGGTCTGTCTGAAAAATCATGTTTGTCCCATATTTGTGGGTACCATGTCTCAAAGAGTAGGGTTGTAAGTACAGCTTTCAGTGTCATATTTTCTGTAAAAATGAAAGATTAAGATTGGAACTAGTGGACATTGAATTAAATGCAGGAGTCTTTATTGTTAAGCTCCAATATGATAAATTACGTGTGTTCATGGTGCCTTGGTGAATTGAGTAATGAATGAAGAGTGAATTGTTTAAATAATCAGAGTTGGTAAATGGAACTGTTTCCCCTCTCCTTCTCCGTCATGGATGTCTTATATTATTAATTTTTCTTCATTCTCTCTTGGGTTCCAGGTGCATTGGGGTGACTGTCTGGCATCACCAAGATGACGCTCCATGCTAACCGGGCGGCTGCACTCCTCTCATGGGTAAGTGGTCTTCCTCTCCTTTGTCTGCTAGGCTTTCCCAGGAAGATTGGGAGGGATGGAAGAAGTTTTCTAAGAGCCCAGGCCATATAAGATATACTCATCTAAATAAATAACAATACAGGGGTTTTGTTTTGATTTGTTTATATTAGTCTAATTAAGAACAGGTTTTATTTGTTTTGTTTCATTGCCTTTCCCCTTAGTTTTTACTTCTGTGGCTGTTACTGCTGACAGTCATCTCTGACCTTTCTTGTGTAACTTAGAAGAGTAACTTTTCTGAGGTATCTATATTTCCTTCTGGTCATGGGAAGAGAGAGTGCATGAAAATTTACCTTCGTCTGATCTCATTACATTTTTCAGACATAAAGTTGGCGTTGAACCTTAATGACTGACAGATGCAGGACTTTGGTCTTTAAAAGTCTTTAAACTTACTGAGGGCAGGGTTCTTTTCACATTCTTTACTATGTTTCTCTTGACTTCTCTTGACTTCCATTGTCCTTATGTTAGGTTCTTCTGCCAGAATCATGAAGATGTCAAAATCATATAGAACATTGGGATTTTACAGCTACAGAGAAACAGAAGAGGCCATAGAGTGTAGTGATAAGGAGCATGGAATGAGACAGACAGGCATAGAATCATAGCTCTGACCCCCCTGTGTGTCCCAGGACAAGTTACTTAACCTCTTAATGCATATCTTTTTGTTTCAGATTTATTTAAAATCTGTGATCATTTATTGAATTATTTTTTGTGAAGTGAGTGAAGGTTAACAGACAAGAATCAGCAGCTTTACATTAAAAAAATTACACTCCCTGCTTTATCTCAATGACTACAGTCCCCTCCTTGCAACAACAGTTATTTGACTTCCTCCCTATAGTTTACCTTTTTCATCTTGTATTTCACAAATGAACAAAGCAAAAATATTTGTACACACACCAAACAAAAAATATATATTCATTTAAATGTCCAAAGGGTACATTCTGTAAGCCTGCCTCCTGTCCTCAGGCACACAACTTTCCTGAGTCCAGGGCCTAGAGCCCGCTGTGGCTATATCTCTCCATGCCGTAGCCTCTGCCGCTGTCTCTGCTGTCACACCTTTTCTAGGTAGACTCTCACATTTCACTCATGCTCTTCCTTCTTGATGGTCCTGGAATCCTCTGTGAAATGGAAAAGTAAATATTCCCCCCTTTTAGTTACATATTTTCTACAATTGCAGTTGTGACGATCACAATTAATCCTGCAAACAGTTACTCACGATTGAGTCATAAAATCCTATCACCATCATCCCCTATCCCCTTTCACCAGCTGCATCTGGAGGAGAAGAAAACTATTCAGTAGGGATTCTACCTTACCCTCCTCATTCTGAAACTAAGCACACTCATGAAAGTTTGTAAGCCAGTCACTTTGTGCCTTTATTGCCCCCATTTTTTTTTTTTTTTCCTAAAACTGATATCTTTATTCTTGAACACTTTAAAGAGGTCTTTTGCTTCCATGAATATTGATGGTGGATCCAAGCAAAATGAAGTCTTAGACAACTTCAGTGTTTTCTCCAATTATCCTTTATAAAGATACTGAAGATAGAA